CGACCCGGGCCCGCCAGCCCTCAGCGCGCGGCATGGCTCGGGGCTCCCGGGGCTCAGCGAGAGTGGACCTGGAGGGGCTACGGAGTCTGCCCTTTTTACTGCGGTTGGGGCCTCGATCTGCCGGCCCTCACTGTGAACTCCAAGCCTCTGAGGCCAGCCCGTCGTGACCCAAAGGCCAGCCACAAACTCAGGGACAGGCACCGCTGCAGGGAACCGTCCAGATCTTTCACTGAGAGTTGAACGCTATAGCTGATTTTTCAGGCGTAAACAACCACCAGAGAAATTAACCAGAGGGCCACAAATTAAAGACAAAACCAACCAAACAAAAACATAAACTCCCTGCAGCCCCTGGGGAGCATTTTGGTGACAAAGACATGTGCGTATTCTCAAGACTCACTGCCCTGCACCCTTCGGTGCCTACTTCCTTCCTCCCCTCACTTCCTCTTAAGCCTGAGCTGCGCGCGTGAGCAGGCAATCAGACTCGGTTCAGGCTGTTCCAGACTCCAACCGAGAGGCTAGGTTAAAAAAGCACCGGGACTTGCCTCACTTCGACGGATTCCTCTGCCCGCTTCCACGGCCCCCCTTTCCACGCATCCAATCTGTTGCCATGGGACACACCTGCCATCAGGGGTGAAGCCCTAGTGTGAGGTCAAGGTCATAAGGAGCTTCTGAACATGCCCTGGAGACCCACGACACAACACACCTGAACAGGGTAATCATTCTCTTCCTGATGCAATCCAGGTGTGCCTCGGGTTTCTTTTTTGAGCAACCAGAGAGACAGCCATGGGTGATTATTAGGCTGATGTTTGCAGGAGATGCAGGTCCTGCTATTTATTGATGCTATATGAAAAAACAAAAGAAGAAAGAAAAAGGCTTCATCAAAGGGTGTGCATAAAACTACACTGAAATAGCACATCAGCTGTAATGGCATGCACATAACTAAAACACGTGTTCATTTACTGAGCACTTTCACTGAGCTGGCACTTTGCTAGGCTCACAGGATACCACCACAGACAAAGCCTTCAGGAAAATTTTCAGTCAAATATAGATAGAGTAACTTTTCCTAAGTAGAGGAAATTCCAGGTGCTTTAGGGACACTTAGAGATTTGAAGGACAAGGTGGGTTGAGCCAGGCTAAGCAGCGTGAGCAGAGGAATGAGGGAGGGCTCCAGCAGACCAGATAGAGGAACTGAAAGGGGTTGTCTGGCTGGAGCAGTTAGCCGCCCACACACAGGTAGGTGTCATGGGACACATGGTGAGCCTCCTAAGGAAATTTTAACTCTATGCTGGGGCTGAGAAGTTGTTGAAGGATTTGTCTTGGTTAGCTATGGGTTTCAGAAGTGTGAAGGCAAGATGGAATATAAAAAGCCTAATTTTGGAGGCTCCTGCAGAATAAATAGAGAGGATGGTGGCCCAAACTAGGAAGTAGCAGGGAGGACAGAGGACAAAATAGACTCGAGATATCTGAAAGATAGAACCCAGTAGAATGGGTAATAGTATTGATAAATATCAATGTGGGGCTGAGATGGACTCAAGATGATGCCCAAGTTTTGGGTTTGGGAACTGGGTGTATAGTGATATATTCCTGGAGAAAAGGCACATGGAAGAAATGAGGTAATGCCTGTATATGTGTGCATGCATGCAGATGGGGGCATTTGGTGAGTTATGTTTTAGACAAGTGGAGTTCGAGATGTTGGTGGAATGTTAGAATATTCTAGCCAACCCAACACAATTATTTTTCTCTCTTGTCAACAGACAAAACAAGAGGAAAATAACCTTCTTAAAGTTTGCAGCAAAGTAAAAGGTGAATAATGGTATGTGATAAATCTATTTATCTATTATAAAATGAAATGAAATGGCTTCCAGAAAGGTAGCTATCAGGGCCCATGGTGAATGGTCCTGCTATGTTTCTTTCTGCAATAGTACAAAGTATGTTTCTGAGTAGATCTATGTGCTGATTTTAACCCAGTTCCACAACCAGCTCACATTGTCATTATTCTGAAATAAGCAATCCCTCTAGTTTGCAGCTGCAAAATCTCCAGCTGAGGCCAGGGAAGCAGATATATCAAAGCCACTCCTGTACTCTCCAGACACTGGCAAAGCCAGAGCCACTGATCTGAACCCCTACCTCTTTTTTTCCTCTCCCTTCATCAAAATCTTATGCAATAAAATCCACTCCATACAATTCTTTTTATGGTATAGTTCAGGTGAGTAGCAGCCAGTAGAATGGTTGATAGGGCAGGACTTTATTTCTACAGTTGTGGTTATGGTTACGATTCACCACCTTTTCACAAACAGCCACCCTGTACTATCTCACATACTATGTTAGGTAGTTTTCTTCCTCCAGGGTTTAGAGAACAGCTCGTTTCCTGTCAGCAGGAATAAAAGGTGTTTAATGCTACTTTGACAAAGCCTGAAGTTACTGCTCTCTCTCTAATACTTTGGTAGGCAAGTGTGAGAGTCAGGAGAACTTTTTAAAATGACTTATGCCTATCCCTCACTTTCAACTGGACTTAAATAATTGGTCATTCAGTTAATAGGTCATTCGATTAATATGTATCCAGTGCTCACTACGTGCCAGGAGCTGCATTAAAGGACTCAAACAAGAGTAGTAGACAAAATACTAGTGGTCTCTGTCCTTCTGTAAGAAATCCTCCCCAGTAGAGAGGATTTCAATGTGGACCTGCCCAGCTTTTCAGTTGTTATCAAGAGTGAGCATTTCTACTCCATGAAAAATTCTCTTCTCATGATATCATCTTTTTTGAGCTTGTTTCCTCCATTTTATCTGACCACTTTGAGTCCCCTTTGCTGGCTCCTTTCCCTCCACTATAAGTGTTGGAAAGCCCCAGGGCTGTATTCTGGGCTCTCTTTCCTTCTCTTTTAATTCTCTCTATCTTAGAGACCTAACCCATTTCCTGTGTCATTAAACACCATCTAAATAGCACAAGTGCCCAACTCATGTCTCCAGCCTGGGCCTCTGTTCTGAGCTCCAGGTTTATATATTCCACTGCCTACATGACATCTCTGCTCGGATATCTAGTGGGCATTGTGCCTGTAACATACCTAAAACTGAGTTCTGTTTCCCTCACTCCTCATCTCAACCATTCCCTCACCCAGTATAGCACTCCACCTGCCCTGTTGTTCAGGCTAGACATTTGAAAAATAATCCTTGATTCCTCTATCACCAACATCTAACCCATCAATCACTAAGCCCTATCAATTTGACCTTTAAAATATATCTCAAGCACATCTTATTTTTATCTTCTTCTGCACAGCTACTGCCCTTTCCCCAAACGTCATAATCTTGTCTGGGCTGTTTAATAATCTGTGGCCTGGTCTCCCTTCACCCCTCTTCCACCTCATCAATTTTCTACATAGAAGCTAAAGTGAACTTTTAAAATTCTAAATCAATCAGGCATCAACTCCCTTGCTTAAATTCTTTAAATAGTTTCCCATTGCTTTTATAGTACAAACCACACTTAACATGACCTACAGGGACCCTATGATCTGGCCTCTGAGTGCTTCACTAGTTTCACACCGATCACTCCCCCCTGGTTTACCTTGTTTCAGCCACATGGGCCTTTCTCAGTTTCCATAAGTTCATCAAGGCTTTTATATCCTTAGGGTCTTTGACCGTGTTGTTTCCTTTGCCTCTGATTTTTCACATGATTCCTCTTTCTCTTCTATCTCAGCATAAAGGTCTCCTCCTCCCAGAGGATCTAAAATTGCCCATCCAGTTTTAAAATAGTTTACTGTATTAAGAAGAAAACATGTTTTGTAGTATTATTGTTCACCACTGTATCTGTAGCACCTAATATACTACCTCGCAGATAACAGGTGCTCGGTAAGTATTCTTTTAATGGCCCTTACATCATTTGGACTTTTTATATCATTATTATCATAAACTGAAAGAATCTAGATATTTATAGATTTATATTCATTCATTACTACATGCAAGACAATGTGCTTGGTCCTATGGCAGATGCCAAGATGTATAAAAAGCAGGTCCTAATCTCAAACAGTTTATAATTTACAAAGGGAGATATAATATGACTTAGAAAACAATATAATATAGACAAATATAAAGTCAAATACACTGGGGAGAGAAGAGGCAGTTGGTTGCTAACAAATGGTGTACGCATAAAGGACACCATTTAAACTTAGGTAGAGTGTAGGGCAGGGAAAAGGAAAGAGCTGATATGAAAAAATTGACATGATTTGTCAGGTGTAGGTAATGTGGAAAAGTAAAATATGACTGGCATTTTTAAACCAGGTGACTTTGACAATGGTGGTACCATGAAAAACAAAACAAAAAGCAATCAGAAGGGAGAATGGGAATGGGACAGGAGAGTGTCTAGATAATGCTAGCTAGATTCTAGAGATGAGTCTGAGATATTGGTGGAACATTCATATAGATTTGTCTGGCAGGTAGTGTTTTTTTTTAAAAAACTTTTTCTTTATTAGATATTTTAAAATTAATAAAGTAAAGCATGTAACATTTAAAACAATTAGAGAAGCATAAAAAAAGATGAGTCTGAGATATTGGTGGAACATTCATATAGATTTGTCTGGCAGGTAGTGTTTTTTTTAAAAAACTTTTTCTTTATTAGATATTTTAAAATTAATAAAGTAAAGCATGTAACATTTAAAACAATTAGAGAAGCATAAAAAATTTTTTTACAGTCTCTCTCTGCCTCCCACTAAGCCAACTTTCTAACTGCCCCCTCTCCTGAACTTCCTGCCAGTAAACTGTCTA